AATCATAAAATTATTTTTGTTGCTACTTTCATAACTGTAATTTTACTCTGCTATGAACTGTTATGTAAATATCTTATATGCAGGGTACCTAATATTTGACCCCTCTAAAAATGTCAGTTGAGCACCCAAGGGTGTCACAACCCATAGATTGATAACCACTTCTCTATGGTTTCTATAACAGCTCCTAACTCCATGTTCTTGCCTTGTCTGAATTCCTTTCAACCTCAGCTCAGACTAATCCTCAAACTGCTCCTGAAATAGTAAAAATGGCCATCCTACTAAAAGGAATATGCAGATTCAATGTAATCCCCATCAAAAGTCCCAACACAATCCTATACACACCTTGAAAGCACAATTCTCAACTTCAAATGGAAAAGTGAAAAATCCAGGATAGCTAAAAACATCCTGAACAACCACAAAACTACAACAAAAATAAACTTCCAGAGGTATCACCATCCCAATTTTCTAGCTGTAATACAGAGCTATAGTAATAAAAAACATATGATACTTTCATAAAAATAGACACGGTTATTGAAATTGAATTGAAGACCCAGAAACTAATCCACACGGCTGCAGACTCCTGCCTTTTGATAAAGAAGGCAGCAATACTTAGTAGAAAAAACAAAGCATCTTCAACAAATGGTGTCAGTCTAACTAGATGTAGTTTTTTTAGAAGAATGTAAATAGATCCATGTTTACCATCCTGCACAAAACTCAAATCCAAGTGGATATAAGACCTGAAACATACGTAAAACCAGACACATTGATTCTCATAGAATACAAAATGGGGAATAACCTTGAACACAATGCCTATGACACAATTTCCTGAACCAATAACTGATAGCAATAGCACAAAGATAATTAATAAGTGGGATCTCATGAAACTGAAAATTTTTATAAGTCATAGGTTATCATTAATAGGACAAAATAGCAGCCTGGAGAATTGGAAAAGTATTTTCACTAGCTCCACCTCCAGTGAAGTGCTAATATTGAAAATATATAAAGAACTCAGGAAAGTAGATTTCAAGAAACCAAATAATCCTATTAAAATTTAGATACAGGACAGCTGTTGGTGGCGCCTGCCTTTAATCCCAGCACTCAAGAGGTTGAGGCAGAGGCAGGCATATTTCTGTGAGATCAAGGCCTGCCAGGTCTCCAGAGCGAGTGCCAGGATAGGCTGCAAAGCTACACAGAGAAACCCTGTCTCGAAAAAACAAAACAACAACAAAAAATAGATACAGGTCTAATCAGTGAAATCTCAATAGAAGAATCTCAAATGGCCAAAAGCACTTAGACAAACTTTAATATCTTAGCCATCGGTGAAATGCAAGTAAAAGCTACTTTGAGATTCTATTTTATTCAAATGAGAATGCTAAGATCATTAACACATATGACAGGTCATGATGACAAGGATGTGGAACAAGGGGGACATTCCTTTATTGCTGATTGGAGCACAAACCTGTACAACCACTATGGAAATCAATATGTTAGTTCCTCTGATATTTGAGGATTGATCTACATAAGACTTAGCTATGCCAGTCATGGACATATACCCAAAGGTCACTTTATCCTACCATGAAGACACTTGCTCAACTATGTTCAGGGCAGCTTTATTTATAATAACCATAAACTGGAAACAATCTAGATGTCCCTCAACAGAAGTCTGGATAAAGAAAATTTAGCACATTTACACTATGGAGTATTACTCAGCTGTTAAAAAATGGCATCATGATATGTGCAGGCAAGTGGATGGAACTAGAAAAGGTCATTCTGAGTGAGATAACTCAAGACCCATAATGGCAAACATGGTATTTACTCACTTATAAGTGAATATTTGCTGTAAAGTAAAAGATAATCATGCTACAATTCTGCAGTCACAGAGAGACTATGTAACAATGAGGTATCAAAGTATGCAAGGATCTCCCTGGGAAGGAGAAACAGAACAGATTTTGCTGGTAGACTGGTGGTGGCAGGTAGAGGTGAAAACAGGAGGAATCATGCAAGGGAAGGGCTAGAGTAATAGATAGTATAGTGCATGGAGAAATTACTGGAATTTGGGGGCATTTGCATGATGATGTGGGAACTTAGTGCAGTGGAAATTACCTGGAGTCTATAAGGATGACCATATTGAGGACTCCTAGTAATGGAAGATATTGGGCTTGGCTAGCAATCTTCTGTAATCAGGCAAGGCTTCTAGTGGTAAGACTGTGACACCAACCCAATCACAAAACATTTGACCTGCAATCTCTTCTACCTGTAAAATGAGCTGGAGCCATGGTGGCACAAAACTTGTGGAATTAGTCAACCAATGACTGGTCTAATTTAAGTCTGATACCAGGAGGGGGATCCCATTCCTGACACTGCCTGGGTGATCAAGAACCAGCATCTTGATAGACCAAAAACCTAGGATGATTTCTAAAAGAATATCAATAAAATTATTTGTAATGGTATTCTTTTATACTCAAAGATTAAGTCTTAACCCAGTCTTCATCAGAGAGGCTTCCTCCAGTAGCTAATGGGAGCAGGTGGAAAGACCCAAATATTAAGACATGTGAGAGATCACACTGTGATCTTCATTGGTTTTCTCACCTTGGAGATTAGGAAACCCCTTGGAAGAGGGGTGGAAAGAATTGTATGAGCCATAGTGTAAAGGACTACAGGAGAATACAGCTGACAATCAACTAAGCAGGGCACATAGAGGTTCACAGAGACTGAAGCAACAATCATGGACCCTGCTGGGCTCTGCACTGGGTCCTTTGAATTCATGCTGTGGATATTTAGCTTGGTGTTTTTGTACAACTCCTGAGTGGAAGTGGGGATTTCTCTGACTCTTTTTTTTCCTGCTCTCGGGACCATTTTCTTCCTACTGAGTTGCCTCGTCCAACCTTGATTTATAGGCTTTTATCTACTCTTATTGCATCTTGATATGCTGTGTTTAGTTGATATTTCTTGGGAGGCTTGATCTTTTCTATAGGGAAATGGAGGAGGAATGGATCTATGGGAGAGGGCTGGTGCAGGTGCAGGACCTGGAAGGAATAGAACATGAGCTGTGTTTAGAATGTGTTGTATGAGAGAATAATAAAAGTAGAATAGTAAAGGATTACTCAAAGAATTTGTCTATTTTAATGTGCTGAAATCTTTTTACTTTTCTTTTTAAAAACCTTTAATATATATGAATGTTTTCTCTGAGTATTCCTGTGAACTGCTTTGCATGATGGTGCCCAAATTGAATCCTCAAGGACTGGATTTATAGACAGTTTTCTGCATCCAAGTGGGTACTGAGAATTAAACCTTTGTCCTCATGAAGAACAATTTATGATAATGAGACATTTCTCCAGTTCCTTACTCTTAAGTTTTTTCAATACAAATATGTATAAAAATGAATAGAAAGGTTGCTCTCATTGTTTCTCTGGATACTGGGCCTCCTTTTCTTCATTCCCATTGTGAGTTCAAAAGGAAAAGTTTGAAATTTGGAGGTAAAAATAAGAAATTTGCTTTTGAAATACAGTTTTTGTCTTTTCTTTCATTATAAATGTGATTTGCCAAAATATAAGCTATTTAATTCATTTAATTTCTACCTGTCAAAATTGACAAACTGTATTAGAATAATAATATTTTCTCAAACTTCCAAAACTTTAAAAGCTGCCTTAAAGGTCTAAAAGTCAAAAATTGCCACTTTTATTGAAATATAACTACTCACAAATTACAGCTTACAGTGAAGAACTATGAGACACAGTATCTAAATTATAATGAAGGGATAATTTAATAATGGTTACTTAATATTTGAAGAATCCTCCTCTCTTTTTCATTGTAATCATCTATAATAATGTTTGGACAAATATCCAGAGGACATTCCTCTCTTCCTCATCTCCTTACACCCCTACACACACACACACACACACACACACACACACACACACACATGCTAGACAAGCCAGGGCTATATATAAAATCTGCTCCTTGATTAATAAGAACTCCTTGAACTCCTTGTGGAAATTGCTCAAATTTGATTCTTCATTAACTCTTTCCAACCATCTGACTGCTTCTTTCACTATTAGCAAGAGTATTATATGCATGCATTGCTAGTTTTCTAACATATTTTTTGAAAGGAACCATTTTGTAGAGAAAAATCTATGCATAGAATCTATAGCACATTATAATGCATCTCAAGTGAATTTGTTAACTGTTATCAGGGAAACTTCCATTTCTAATGCTAATTAATGTAGTGACCCACAACTGGTCAAGTTATAAAAAACATGAAACTGTGGATTGTTCAGCCCAAAATGAAATAGCTATATCACACCCTTTCCTCCATTGACTATGGAAGAGGGGATAAAACATGTAAAAAGCCAGGGATGATGGATGACTATGAGCAAACAGTGTCCTCTGGACACAGTAGGTTAGCTATACATATGAACTCACAGTGGTTATGACACACACACACACACAAAGATAGAGATAGATCTATAGATTGATGAGAAACAGAGAGCAGAATCATATAGCTCTGTTCATAAATTTTTAATTAATTATATTTATTTGGCTCAATCCGGGATCATTCTTCTGTCAACCATCTCATCATCATTCCTTTCCTTCTATATGCTACTGCAAACTATATTTTTTGTGCTAGAAAAGCCACTGCCTTATATAAAATCTGCTCCTTGATTAATAAGAACTCCTTGAACTCCTTGTGGAAATTGCTCAAATTTGATTCTTCATTAACTCTTTCCAACCATCTGACTGCTTCTTTCACTATTAGCAAGAGTATTATATGCATGCATTGCCAAAACTTAAGGTGATATGGCTCCCCTCCAATAAGCTTTTAAAAAATCAATGCCTGAAGCTGTCCAGAAATCTCTCTCTCTCTCTCTCTCTCTCTCTCTCTCTCTCTCTCTCTGCTACCCTCCAGAACAAATAGAAAGCAGAGTTTATAGTCTGCCTTATCTTTGGCTGCAAGCCATGCCTCAGCATTCATCCATTGCTAAAGTAAAAAACACTTCATCTTGCTCATTTCAGCATCATATACACTATACTTGGAACAATTCACAGAAGATTAACAGGGCCTCTGTGAGAAGTTGAAACACCAGTTTATAAAGTATTTCATAATTCTAAATCAGGTATTTTCATGTGTTGTACTGAAAGAAAATGTTAAAGGTAAAAGCAAATGACCTTACCCCTTTATCTAGCAATCTAGCAATAGTAATGTTAGAAACCTATTCTACTTTGAGTGCTGGAGAGATGGCTCAGTAGTTAAGAAATCTATCCTTCTAGGGACAATAAAAACAGCTCAGCAGTAAAGGCACTTCCTGCCAAGGCTGACAACCTGAACTCAATCCCCAGGACTCACGTTGGTAGGAGAAAACCCATTCCTGCTGGTTGTGTGCCCTCACATGGATATTCATACACATGTGTATACATTCACAATACACAAGTAACTAAGGTTATATTGTAATAAAAAGGAAAGATATCAGTTCCATGCTGGTTTTCCAGCTATCAGTCTGGGGACCAAGAGCTCCTGTTTGTTCAGGTCTGCTGTTTCTGTGGGTTTCACCAGCCTGGTCTTGACACCTTTGCTCATCACTCCTCCTTCTCTGCAACTGGATTCCAGTTCAGTTCAGTGTTTAGCTGTGGGAATCTGTTTCTACTTCCATCAGCTTCTGGATGAAGTTTCTAGGATGGAATATATGTTAGTTGTCAATCTCATTATCAGGGGAGGGCATTTAAGGTAGCCTCTCCACTGTTGCTTAGATGGTTAGTGGTAAACTTGCATGGAACTGATTCAGACCCCATGAATGTGGGTGTCAATGAGGAGGGCTTAGAAATCTATGGGGCTTCTTGTAGTAGATCAGTACTTATCCCTAGAATAGTCATGGTCTTTGGAAGCCAATTTCATATAGAGGGATAATCCCTCAGCCTAGACACATGGGGGAGGGCCTAGGCCCTATCCCAAAGTATATGACAGATTCTGAAGACCCCCCCCCACATGAAAGGCCTCACTCTCCCTGGGGAGAAGAAATGGTATGGGATAGGTAGGGTGTTAATGGGGAGAAGGGGAGAAGGAGAGGGAACGGGAACTGGGATTGACATGTAAAACAATCTTGTTTCTAATCTAGATAAAAAATGGAGGACAAAAATCAAAATTAAGTCAAATACTTTCTTACTTCAAGACGGAAGAACCAAAACATTGGTCATAATCAGATCAAGGCAAAACCAAAAAAAGGAAAGAAATCTGTCCTAATACACATATATGTACATATATGAATGATAGTATTTTCATAGCTTTTACCAGATACTGTGTGTCATTACTTATTGAATATCAATTGGTCAGTTCAAGTTCTATAACACCAATTGAGCAGGTTGTACTTACACATTTATATATGTGTATGTATGTATACACACACATGTCTGTATGTAACAACAATTGATTTTAAAAAAGGCTATTCATTGGAAAAAGATAAAGGAATGGTGCATCTGAGAGTTTGTAAGGAAGATAGCAATGATACAATTACATTCTCAAAAATAAAGGAAATATGTTCTGAAATAATTAGAAAAGGGAACTGTTTAAATATGCTCCCCCATGTACTTATAGAGGAATATAAGACAAAGAAAATCAAAGATGCATTCTACATATGTATATAAAAAGTTTTAAATACATAACATGCAATATACAATTTTGACATAAAGAACAATAGTATATCCAAAGTTGAGCTATTTTAATGATGTGACATGAGAATATATATTCATGTACTACTATATTTATAAAATAAAACATCCAAAATAAATTTATGAACTGAATGTTGATGTGTGTGCTGGCTAGTTTGGTGTCAATTTGACATAGCCTAGAATCAACTAAACCTCAATTGAAAGAATGTCTCTATATGATCTGGCTTTGTGTATTTTCTTGATTAGTGATCAATAGGAGACAGCCCAGTCCATTGCGTGTGGTGCTATCCTGGTTTCTATAAGAAAGCAGGCTGAGCAAGCCATGAAAAGCAATCTAGTAAATCAGCATTCCTCCATGGTCTCTGAAACAGCTCCTGCCTCCAGGTTCCTGTACTGTTTGAGTACCTGTCTACGTTCCTTCAGTGATGGACCCTGACCTGTGAGTAAGTATAAGCCAAATAAATCCTTCCTTTTCCAACATGCCTTTGGTCATGGTGTATCATCACAACAATAGTATCTGTACCTAAGACAATATCTAGCTCAAATCCATACATTAAAAGATTGTCCCTATTAATTTGGTATTTGGAGGTATGCCTTCTGGAGGTAACTTTATTGTGAGACTGGAGTCCTCATTAGTCTGATTAGCAGTACTCCTATAAGAAGTGGCCAAAGAACTAGCTTTCTTTTAGCCATTAGGTAATCACAAAGTGTGAAGCATACAACCTGAAAGTGGGTCTTTACCTGCACTTCATTGTTCTGGGACCCTAATATTAGTCATCCAGGTTCAAGAAAATGTGAAATAAATGTTGTCTGAGTCCTGAGTTTGTTTTTATT